GGCGCTGGGAGAACGTTGGGGCCGCTGAAGGAAGTGCGCAAAGCAAGTTTCTTGGGTTAATTACATAAATAGAAAAGTCAGAGTCTTCGCATGTTTTCTGAACATTCCTTGGTGCTTTTCCATGTGCGCCTGAGTTGTAAAAGGCAAAACAAAACACACACGCACATCCACCCCCAAATCCTCCCGTCCCACCACCCCCTGGAAAGGACGTCTCCAGGAAAGGTTAGAAAGAAGGTAAAGCATGTGTTTGCCATCTTTATGCCGATATGGAAACCATATGCTTAAATACACTAGCAAACATACTTAATATAACACTCTCTTTTATTAAATGTGGTTTTATAAACGCTCTCCCCAGCCAGGGCACCTTTGCTGTGCTGGAGGCTGGAACTTGGCAAAATAATCTCCCCGCTGTTACATCTATTGATACACATTTTTGGAAAATGAGTCTCGGACCCTCGGAAAATAGACTGGTTCTGATTATTATTGCAAGTGGGAAGGGGCACACGAGGGCATCTTTTTTCCTCTGATAAATGAAAAGAAGTGTAACGGGTGCTTTCTGCAACCTGTAAAAGGGCAGAGCCATCTGTGATTCATTTAGCAGCTCCTTACAGAAGATTTATTTGATTAATTCGGTCAGAAGAGAGAGAATATGGATTTTCCCCTGCTCTGAAAGGCACATACGCACTCACACATGCACACAGGCACCCACCCATGGGTAGACATCTCAGGAATGAAAAATGACTAATCGTGTTATTGGAACTGGCCAATGCGGGGCCCCGGCAGTGAGATAGTGGGCTCCCGCCCTGCCGATGGGAGGGCTGGTTTCGGAATAGATTTAATATCCTTGGGCCCAACGCCACCGAAGAGTGACCTTAGGGAATAATCCCATGAACCCTGGATCGCTTTTATCAGGTATTGATTACTGGTGCCAGGCTCTGTGCGCAGCACTTGGCACGTGTTACCTCATTGCACCGTTGCGACAACCCCTCCGCTTCCCAGACAGGGAGACTATCCCCATTATTAGCGGTCCTTGTTCAAAATTATTTTCACTTTTTTTCGGATGGTGCTTGGCTTTCTTAGTCCTCTATGCCTAAACCATGCTGAGAGAGGCCACAAATCTACATTCGTCTCATATTGGGTAATCTTGGAACAGGTCATCCACATTGGCTGTGCTCCGTGCCCCGTGGGTTCCAGTTCGGTGTAAACAGAGAAAGACTCCACTAGGGGCTGGAGGAGAGCTGGCCTCCTCTGGCCTTGCTTGTCCCTAACTTGCATGGCCCAACCCTACCCTATAAGCAACTGTCTGTAGACCACTGTCAATTCCCAGGGAGTAGGAACGGCCCTCGAAATGGGTCCTTGAGGAAGGCAAAGAAAACGGTGACAGTCAAGAAAAAGTATAAAATCATGTGAGATTGGAGCCAAAGAAGGCTTTGGATATCAACGTCAGGAGTGGCAACATCTGACAAGGGATTGGTGCCATGACTCTCCTTCCTTAGACATTGCTAATTGGTCCCAGTTCTCGCCCTCCCCTAAACCCTCAAAATCCTTCTGGACACAGTTCTCTGGGCAGCCTCTACCAAAAGATCAGAATTAGGGCATGAGTTGAAAGCTGTTGGTAGTCCCTTCCAGCCAAGTGTTCCATTTTGTGGCAGGAGAGACGGGCTCAGAGAGAAGTCGGCTACAAAGCCAGTTGGGAAGACAGTTCCCACTTCTCTGCCCACTAGTCCACACCAGTGGGGCTGGTGGAAGCCAAGGTTCAGGGGGTCATAAACCTCTGTGTTCGGCTGAGTTTGCTCTCTCACCCCTACCCGGGCCACCCCCAAAGGATGTCACTAACACTGCTCTGTAGGCAGGATAAAAGGCATCCCCTGGAATGCTACAGAAGATTGAAATCTCTCCGTTACTTTAAAATAGTTAACTTCTTGGGACGCCTGGGTGGCTCAGTCAATTGAGTGACCAACTTCAGCTCAGGTCATGATCTCACGGTTCATGGGTTTGAGCCCCGCATCAGGTTCTGTGCTGAGAGCTGAGAGCCTGGAGCCGGCTTTGGACTCTGTGTCTCTCTCTCTCTCTCTCTCTCTCTCTCTCTCTCAGCCCCTCCCCTGCTTGCACTCTCTCTCTCTCTATTTCTCTCAAAAATCAATAAACATCATTAAATTTTTTTAATAAAAAAAATAAAATAGTTAGCTTCTAAACCAGGATAGGGTGGGGCAGCCTGAACCCACAATATCTGACAGCCTGGAGTCTAAGATTCTAGAAAGAAGTGGAAAGTTTCACTCTGGAAACACTAGGGTCAGCAGAGACTCTGCACTCTGGTCTTTCCCACCTCTCTTCACTCGCTGGACCACAGGATCCAAGGCAACTGGCACTCGGCAGGCTGAAGGCTTAGAGTGCTTGTCTCGGGGGGTGGTCACACGGTCCTCAGACTTTTCAGCTAAGTGCAATTTCTCTGTGGGAAGATGAATGGTTGTGTGAACGGAAGGAGGCATCTCTAAGTTTGGAAGTTCTCTCCAAAACTCCTTTCCCGCGGGTCCTTCCCAAGACCCATCTGAAATGCTTCTCAGCCCTGTGTGGCCCAAGAGGAACTTTGAGGCTCACTATCTTGTTCTGCTGAATCTGATTTTCCATGGAAGAAGCGAGGCTGAGGACCAGGACTGGTTTGGAGAATCAGAGTGAGTCTTATATGCCACGGATTTTAAAGGGAGGCCGTCATGGTGTGTTGAACACTGAGAGTCTCTCCACTCTCCCATTTAGCAAGGTTGTGTGTTGGATGGTTAGGGGACCTGTTTAAAGACTGGGTAGGACTTGTGTGTGGCCTGCATCTCAGCTATTGGGTCTCTGTTGGGTGTTTCCGCAATTTTTGAAGAGGTTTGAAAACACTTTGTCGAAACATGCCTCCTGCAATCTTGCTTACGCTATGAATTCGTAATTCACAACGGAGAAAAGCTTGCTAACTGAATCATACTCTAGCCCAGCAGAGCCTCTTGAAAGGATCACAAATATTGAGTGAGTGAGGTCCCAAATAATGAGGATTTTACAGTGCTCAAATGACACCCCTTGAAGGGGTTTGTTGACCAAACGTCATTTGTCGAATAAAGGGGGTTTGTCTGCCTTGAAAAGTGGTTTTCTGGAAGGTTCCTGAGTGAGGGAGTGAATTGAGCAGGCTGGAGAAGGAGCCAAGTTTGGGTGGGGGTCAGCATAGGGGTGTGGGTGAGGAGTAGGGAAGTGGCAAGGAGGGGGGGGGGCTCTTGGCACACCAATTTGGATTCCACGGAGGGATACATGAGCGGGCTGAGGTATGTGTGCGTTGCCTCGGAAGACTGATAAAGGAGGAAGCAGGTGTCACTGGGAATGACCAACTCTGTGGCCGAGCAATGGCCGAGCAGGAGTATTCACTAGCCGTGGGGACTTTGAGCAAGTTAGGCAATCTCTCCGCACTTCAATTTCCTTCTCTGTAAAACAGTGGTAATGATAACACTTTCCTCGTAGCGCTTCTATGAGGATTAAATAAGATAGAGCGCGCGTAACAGCCATCGAAAGTGTAGGATCAAGGAAACGTCTCCCAAACTGATGACTGGGTGAACAAAATGCGGTATATCCATACGATGGAATATTATTCTGTCCTAAAAAAGGGATGCGGTGCTGAGACACGCAGCTGTGCGGACGAACCCGGACAACACGATGCTAAATGGAACGAGTCAGACACAAAGGCCACACGTTACCTGGTCCCACTTACACGAAACGCCCAGAGGAGGTAAACCTATAGAGATAGAAAGTGGATCAATGACTGTTGCGGGCTGGTGGAGGGGGATAGAAAGGTCGTGAGGTGATGGTTAAAAGGGTACAGGGTTTCTTTACGAGGTGACGAAGATGTTCTAAAATGGACCGTGGTGACTGATGGTTGCACAATCAATATGTAGTAAAAACCATTGCGGATATTGTGAAAACCATTGAACCGTATGCCTTCAATGAGTGAATCGTGGGGTGTGTGCCTTTTATCTCAATAACGCTGCTAAGAAAAAGAAAACGTTCTCTTCCGTGTTTGAGCGAATGTGGTTATAGCAGAAATGCCAATGCCTGTGACAGCTGGGGAGTGCCTGCCCCACTAGAGACATTCAGGTTAAGGAAACCCAGAACATGCCTGCGGGCCGGACTTGGCCTCAGCTTCCCCATCTACTAGCAGGGACAGAAACTCTCCCTTCAAAGGGCTCTTGGAAGGAAAAGTGAGATAATCTGGGCAGAGCTCTTAGCATGGAGCCTGGCATGTCCTAGGCACGGAGGAGACAAGTGGGCATTGCCACTATTCCATTAGAGTCTAGACTTCCAGGCTGGAAGGGGCTGGCCAGACAATCCGGTTGGAAAGGGAGGGGGTGAGCAGGGGTCGTGTACTGAAGCCACAACATTCGGGTGTCACGCCTACTGCATCAGCTTTGGTCGTGTGTTATAGTTTCAAGATATTTGCAGAGTTTTCTAAAGATGCTTATATTCACACTTTCATAAGGTTGAGGACAGGTCTATACCACATGGTAACATTTTTAAATTTGAAGTGCCTTTGAGCTGGTGAAGGAGGCTGATGACGATTATAGAGGATGTACAGTCTCTCCCATTCCTGGGGCGTCGGGGTGGCTGGGTTGGTTAGACGTTCGGCTTTGGCAGAGGTTGCGATCTCGCCGTTTGTGAGTTCGAGCCCAATACGCGGCTCTGCACTCTTGGGATTCTCTCTCTCTCTCCTTCTCTCTCTGCCCCTTCCCTACTTGCGCTCTCATGTGCTCTCTCTCTCTCAAGATAAATAAATAAACTTAAAAATAAAGTCTCTCCCATTCCTGCAAGCCACCCATAGGTGACAACAGTATTGTTAGAATTAAGTATTAAAGACAAACGTCGTGTACACAGAGCACTGAAGGGAGTCCAGGGCTGGACTCTTGGGCTGACTCAACCAATCCCAACTGTTGGACTTCAGGAGCATAATTTGACTTCAGTTTTTTTTTTTTCCATTATAGACTGAGAAGATAGTGGGTGTGATTTCTCTCCTTCAAGCAAAAATCTTCAGCGTCCATAATAATGGCCCAGATCTTATTGCCGGCTAGGTAAGCCACTCCAGCCGTTCCAAAAGTGTGGACACAGGTTTCACAGACTGGAGCTTGTCCTTCTAGTCTAAGGGCCTTGAGTTCTAGAATCCCAAGATGAAGGTCACAACATGGGGGCCAGAGAAGAACCTTGCTATTATCTCCAACTTGAGTCCTCCCCGACTGAAGCATCAACCTGATTCCTTTCTTACTTTGCAGCTGTAGACACAGGGTTGACTATTGTTCCCCCTACTCCGAAACAACAACAACAACAATAACAATAACCCACACAAAACAAAACAAACCAAAAACCCACTTATATCCACCTGAACTTGTGAATGCAACCTTACTTGAAAATAGGGTCTTTGGGGGTTCCCCAGGTGGCCCAGTTGGTTAAGCATCCCACTCTTGATCTAGGCTCAGGTCATGATCTCACAGTTCATGAGTTCAGATCATGATCTCATGGTTCATGAGTTCAAGCCCCATGTTGGCTCCGCGCTGACAGTCTGGAGTCTCCTTGGGATTCTCTCTCTCTCTCTCTCTCTCTCTCTCTCTCTCTCTCTGCCCCTCCCCCGCTCATTTGTGCTCTCTCTCAAAATAAATAAATAAATAAATAAACGTTAAAAAAAAATAGGGTCTTTGGAGATATAATCAAGTTAAGGCAAAGTCATACCGGACTAGGGTGGCTCTAATCCAATGTCTTTATAAGGAGAAGGAAATTCGGAAACAGAGGCAGCTACAGACATAGAGGCCACGTGAAGGTAGAGGCAGACGTTGGACTTGTACGTCAGCCACCAGCCAAGGGATGCTTAGGATTTCCGGCAGGTGCCAGTGGCCAGGAGAGAAACATGGGACAGAGTCTCCCTCGGCGTCTCCAGAAGGAACCAATCCTGATGACAGCTGAGTCTTGGACTTGTAGCTTCCTAAAAAGTGAGAGAATAAACTTCTCTTGCTTTAAGCCATCCGGTCTCTGGTACTTGGTTATGGCACCCCTAGGAATCTTAGATGAGGCATGAGGTTTCTGCCCCCCTGAGTGCCAGCACCATCTGGGTGAGGGGAGGACCTCCAGCAGGTTGAGGGAGGGAGAAGGCGGTCATGTGGGTGCTAGTATGCTTCGTCCACCGTACAGGCCCGTGGGGCTGCCACAGAAGACTCTGCCTCTCCCTGGCTGTGACAATGAACGTGGAACTGGGCAGCAGAGGGCTGGAGACAGCACACCCAGGCTGTCACGGAAGGCTGCATCTGTCACCGGGGTTTCCCTCTGTAACTTTGTGGTCAACGGTCAGAAATACATTTTACATTGCCACCTAGTACGCGTACCCACAAAATGAATTTCATGAAATACTACATGTTCTTCCTTACACTTTGACATTTTCTATTCTCTATTTGTTAAATGCTGGTTGCTACCCACCAAATTGACTTAGGACCCACTAACGATCATGACCCACAGTGTGAAAAACACTGAACTGGAGGAACTAGGAAACTAGTAAGGTCTGGCCCCTAGCCTGTTCTCTTCCGGACTTTTAGACCTCCGAAAGACGGTCTTAACCATCCCCAAACTTATTCATTCAGCAAACATTTATTAGCAACTTCTTTGGCTTTGAAAGATCAGGGGCTAAGAGAGAGCAGAGATACCAAGATAATGAGTAACACTTAGAGAGCCACTCCCGCCGGCCAGGCATTGTACTAAGCACAGTGTGTGGATTTTCTCAGTTACGAAAATTAACGCTCAGATCACGGGCCCAAAGTTAGGCAGTTAACAAACCAGCAAGATCCGGATTTGGGCTCAAGGCAGCTCAACCCCAGAGTCAATGGGGTTAACCACTTGGCTATCTAGGAACACGCAGCTAGAGGAAAGGCTCATTTGTGAACGTTTGAATAAATGCAGCAAAATTACACTTTTCTTCCTAGCCTCAATCACTGTCAACAGCTTGTGAAGGGTCTATTCAGACCTTTCTCCCTGTGTTTGGAACATGGATACAGTTGCAATAGGACCCTCTCTCGTGTTTGTGCTCCTAGGAGGTGATACGTACAAGGAATCTGCGTTTCCCAGTGTCGTTTGCAGACGTATCTCTGACACGTTTTTATGGCCATGCGCACAGCAATCTCAGTGTTTCTCACCCCTGAATGTTGGATTCGTTTGTACATTTTCACTATGGGAATGAATATTTTTCTACTTGTGTCTTTGTGCACGTATGACCTCTTCTCCAGCGGGATCACTGGAAGTGAGTACTGATTTCAAGAACGGGCGCTTTATGAGAAATGCTGTCGAGTTCTTCTCCGTGAAGGCTGTGCAATCGACATGTTATCATCAGTGCGCGACAGCATGTTTCCCTGCAGCCTCGCTACAGTGGATATTATCAGTTATTGTGGTTTGTGTTATTCTCCTGGGTGCAAATATAGTATTTGTTGATTTAATTTGTGTTCCCTTGATTGCACGGAGCTGGGTACCGAATCTGCGTGACATCTATGGCATCTGTCGGGTAGCCCAATGACCACATGCCAAGCACATTCCTATGCCTGGCCCCGTGGCCCCAGGGGTGTAGAGAAGGAGGAATTGCCTCCTTAGATTTCCATAGTGGAGGGGGGAAGCAGGTCCCCCTTGCAATGGGGGACAACTTGCAATGGGGAAAAGGCCACTGTGCCCTGAAAGATCAGCCAGGCGTCAGGAGGAATGGGGTTGGGATGCTGTGTGGGACGAACAATGACAAATGCCCACAGCCAACCTTCACACATTCGATGCCCCTTTCTTCACCTGTTAGTCAATGGGTCACGCCTTTGCCCATCTTCCTCTTAGCTTGTCTTTTGTCTTATTTGTCTGTAGAGTCCTTTATCCTGCACGCTGCCTTTTCCCAGATTGCTCTGCCAATGGGGCATCTTTATTTCTGGGGGCATAGTGAGGCCACCACTCTTCCTTCCGGTTTGCCCAGGAAAGTGTCAGTTTCCCAAATATAAGTGGCTTCTATCAGGATGGCTGGCAATCATTCAGTACCTACGAGCACATTAAGAAAAGGGACCTCTTGCCCAAGACGGGTCGCTTCTGCCTGATGGAAAATGTTACAGTATGCTGATTTTACTAGAATAGACACTTTATTGCAACCCAGAGAAATGGAATAAATATACAAATCTTTGATATCCAAGATGTGGCTGCCATTCCTTTGGTGAGGCTGCCGTGGAGCAGTGCCCCGTCCGCCCAACTGTATGAGGCGACCCTGACCCTGACATCTGGCGGCCGCTTCGTGGAGCCAAGTCCCCGTTTGCGTCCCCTGGCTGAACGAAGCCTGGTGCGAGTAACCAGGCTCCGGTTCTGGCCTCTCCACCCCCATCCGGCTGGCTGGCTTCAGGTTTGTCACAGCGTCTTTCTGGGCCTCCGTGACATCTGCTGCATCACCCCCCTGAATAAGGCTTGAAGTGACACTGCCCGCGGGACGCCTTTGAAGAGTCAAAAGGCACCTTGGAGAAGTGTTAGTGATACTACGGAAGCACATTAAAGTTAACACAATCTAACAGTGGTAACCGTACTTTCTTTACAGAAAGACCTGTGCTCAGGTCTTTACAGAAAGACCAGGTGGTCCTGTGCTCATTCGGCCCTCCACCCAGAAGTGCATCGTGACCTCTGTGGCTGTCCTTAGAGGGGTACCCCCAGGTACCGGTGGCTGTCCTTAGAGGGGAACCCTGGCACCCCCAGGATTTCTTGGTATATCGTGCTATCTGGACTAGCTCTGCACAGTCGCAGAGAGGCCTCTGTGTGCAGCCAGGTTTCTGTCCTCCACGTGTTTAGGGGCCAGACAGCTCCCCAGAAGCTGTCCTTCGTCCCCTCCCTGTGTGGCATCAGTGCCGAACTTGGCCTGTGGGTCTCCTCAGGGGCCTGCAGCGGTAAGCAGGGATCGAGACGGGAGCTGGCTAGTCCCTTGGCCACCAGCAGACCTAGGCAGGAGCGAGGACGTAGAGTGCAGTGATCCCAGGGCTCCGGGGTTAGCCGAGATCATTCTGTGGACTCCTGAGCATTTCTGCAATTCCGAAGAGTCTCCGGGAACCGTGTAGTGACTCCCAGCAAGGTCACTTGGGCTGACTGACACTTCGCATTCCTTTGCAGTGATATGGAATGGCATCAGCCGGACATGATGACGCTGTGTCTCCCGTGACGGTCAGAAGGTGCCCGTGTGGCTGCAGCTAGAACGGACTTTTCAGGATAGGCAAACAATTGGTGCATAATAAGTGCATTCGTTTGGTAAACAGACAATTTTCAAAATGTGGAGCTGCAGGGAGGAGCAAAATAATTCCAAGTGCTCTTGGTGGGAGGAAAGCCTTTACTTTACGTAATAAAGATACCTTTGAACAGCGCGGCGTGCCAGGCCGTGCCCTTGGGCCTGGGGACAGTGACACATGGGGGACTTGCTCCCATGGAGCTGATGTGCTTACTTACGGCAGGAGACAGACGGTAAGGAAGAAAACGAGAGGGATTTTCTTAGGTGCTTAACAAGTGATCGTTATTGATTAGAAACAATGGAAATGTCGCACAATCAGGGATCGGTTTCATATATTGTAATACACCCACGCTGTGAACTATTTTGTATCCATTTTAAACATGGTTTTGAAGAATGCCTAATGACACCGAAAAGTGGTCATGGCTCCTTTATTCATTCAGCAAACATCAGCTGAGTCCCTACTCTGCCAGGTTCTATGCTGGGCTCTGGAGACTGAGCAGGGAGCAGCAGAGGCAAAGCTCAGACAGGCTCCCGGCTGCTCTGGAACTTATATCCTATTCAAGGAGACAGTTAATAAACAGGTGGGGAAAATATCCAGACAGGAAAAAGTCAGATGGAGACAACAAAGAGGGTGACAGAGACTGCCTGGGGCGTGGAAGGGATGCTTAGGCTGAGTAGTCAAGGAGGGCCTCTCAGAGGAGGTGACCCAAGACTAAGAACTGACCAAGAGGTGGCCAGTTGGTGAAGATGAGGAAGCCCTACATTTGACCATCTTTCAAGGGCAAGGTGAGGGTGAGGACACATTGATATTTGCCCTGGCTTGGCAGATCGGAGCTTTTGTGGAAAGTTTAGGACCGGCTAGACTTTCCTTAGTGCCACAGATAGGGAAACTGAGTTGATGTGGTTTGTTCTGGAAACTTGTGCAAAGCCAGGGTACAGCCTTGGGCATGGGCCCCCTGGACAGTGCTCTTCCCATGCTGTGGACCACCCTCGCTCTCAGTAAAGGTCCCTTCTGGGTGCTTTTACAGATCTCGGGCCACACGAAGGCGGTGTCTCTCCAGCCGCCAGCTCTCAAGGATTTCTGGAAGGTCTACAACGTGCATGGTGCTGTGCCCACAGCCACGGACAGACTGAGCCACGAGGGATCCATACCCACGCAGGAAAACGCAAGCAGCTCCCCCTGGGAGCCTGGATGTGGACCCAGCCTTCCGAGGTGCCACCCACAGGCCGCGCATTGAAGGGAGCCCCAGGACAAGGGGTCACTGCAGCCAGGCCGGGCGACTGAACTCTCACCTTTTCACAGACAACTTCTCACCCCCCATTTCATTGGTTCCCCAGTCCCCGACAAGGGATCCAGGGGGGGAGAAGGGGTCATCGCCTCGCACCCCAAGTGGGGAGGGGTGTCCCAGGTCTTCAAAGAAGCCCCAGCCAAGCGATGCAGCCACAGGAATGATATGGGACAAGCCCCACCCCTGCTCGTTCTGTTCCTCGTTGCTGGGCCAGCCCCACTAGCTTTGATCTCGGTCCCACGGAGCTTGGCCCGGCTGTGAGGTCTCCTGCTGTGCCGCCGCAGGCTGGTTCTCCAGCTCTAGGGACTCACTCTGTCTCTCAGTATCGCAGCCTGGATCTGGCCTCCTGCCTGCCAGGCTGTGGCAGCAACATCCCTCGGGACCCAGGGGGAGGTAGCAAGGGGGAAACGTAACCTTGGGCCAGACTGGGGAGGGGTTTGCGTGCCCAGGACAGCTAGGCAGACGCGCTTTGATGGGCAACCGGAGACACCCCATTCGTGACCACCTGGATGGCACGTACGACCCAGCGGAGAAGGTCGTAGGTAGTAGTCGGGAGCTCAGGCTCCGAGGGGCTCCGGGGAGAGGGGTTCACATTCCGGTCGAAGCCATTTCCTCCCTGGCTAACCGTGGCCACCTCTCTTTACCACAACTTGCCTCAGTCTGCTCATCTGTAAAATGGAGATAAGAAAATGAGCCACTTCCTGTGGTTGTTATGGGGACCAAATGACGAAATCTATGTGACAGCAGGTGGCTCGTTATAAACACTCTGCTGGCTGTCACTGATGTCCCCGTCCCAGATGACTTCGGGAGGAATCGGAGCCAGCCCTTTGGAAGCACAGCGACAGCGGTTCCTGGAGCCTCCTGTCCTGCCTTCTGCACGAGACACGTGTAACACCCCTTTCCCGAGTCCTTGTTCTCTTCTCTCCTCTGGCTCCCGGCCCGGGTTGGATGGAAGGATCTCTGGGGGATCAAAGGTTCCTCCTTCACCTTCCTGCTCTCCGCCTCCCTCTGCTCTGGCTTCCCCTGCTCCCAGCTGCCCAAAGGATTTTCCAGCCCCTGCTGGAAGGTCCCCCACTCGCTCCCCAGGAGCGACTGCCCAGGAGACAGCAGTCAGCTCAGCCCTCCTCAGCTCTTAAGACCCTTGATGGTCTGACCCTTCCTTAACTTTTCGGCCTAAGGTGGGTCTGGGAAGTTTAAGCCTGAGTTTGACTCCGGTCTCGACTGCATCTGAGCTGTGAAACCCTGGGAAGTGTGTGTCACCCCTATACATCTTGGTTTTCTTATCTACAAAATGGAAACAATTACACCTGCCTTATGGGCTTCTCAAGCATGGTTGAGGGACGAATGAACAGGGTGTGGACATCTGGAAAGCAACTCACTGTTCTGGGGCCATACTGTGGTTTCCCGTCTCTGGGTCTTCGTTCTTGCCATCCCTCCCCTGGAATGCCCCGTCGCCCTCAGTTACCATTGTCCAAATGGGTATATCTTCTTGCCCAGGGCAGACGCCGCGTCCTCTGTGAAGCTGCCATTGCCACCCTGCCTGACATGATCTCTTCCTCTCAGGTTTCCGGTATCGTGTCCCTGACACCTCTCTCCAGCACCTGGACGGCCTCACGACATACCCGTCTTCGTGTGTCTGCCTTATCTCCTGGGACTGTGAGCTCCTGGAGGGCAGGGCTACCCTTAAATCAGCTCTGGTTTTCCCATAGCACCTTGCGCCCCCTGACCCACCCCCACCCTCCCAGCCCCCGCCCAACAATAGGTGCTTGGGGTGTGCTTGCTCAAGGACACGTGACTGTATGGATGAATGCATGAATCTGGGCAGAGCCATGAAGCACCGAATCAGAGATGGGCCTGATCCCCCGTGCAGCCCATGGTATGGCCTCAGACGGTTGCGTCTCCTTGGGGCAGTCATTTCCTA